GTGGACTGGCCTTCATGGGCTTACTGACCATCATATAAGCTTTGAGAATGCATACGCAGTTATTGCACATGAAGGCTTGCATTATAGGATCAAGGGAGCAAATGTGTATAAACCTAGAAGTAAATATATATTAAACAGTAAATTGTTCAAAACTCAAATTAAATATTTTTTGTAGACCCAGATGTGTCGTTTGAAAGTGAAAACGCTGCCATCTCAGAGAGTCTGGTGATGGACATAGAAGACCTGGTAAAACCTGGCAATCTGCACAAATTCTGTCCGTATTACATGGCTTGGGAAATCCAAAAGGAAGCAGTTATCATCTTTATGCCCTACGACTACCTGTTGGACCACAAGGTCAGAAGAAGTCTCAGCATTGTTTTGGGCAACAACTTTGTCAAAGGTAAATTTCAGTTCAGTTTAAAAATATTTCTGTGCATTAAATAAAATTTATCTTTTGCCCTTTACTACTTAATATTGCAAATACGGGGGTCTTGCTTGGGAGGACTAAATACTGGGTCTGTAAAAAGTTATTTTCATTTAAGTACAAAAAACATTTATTAGTATGCGGTTCACTTACAAGATCTTTACGATATCTTTTAAAAATTCATTAAAGTTGGAAGGTTTTTGATAGCCAACCCTTGTAATAATAATTTGTTAATATTAACAAGATACAATAATTTTGATGATTTTTAGTTTTAGAACAAAACTCCATACTACTCTCTAGATTAAAAAGATGTGTGGTATACCAAAGTCAAAAAGTCGGTGGGATACCAGAATGACTACAACACATTTGTTATGCGTTGCAGAAAATTACTTATATACAGAGTGTTGACGCAATAAATGCCTTGTTTGGCCAAAATTATATAATCCTGCATTTTTTCCATGCTAATCTTCCTTGGTTCCAACAGACAATGTGTTGCGTTAATGGTGACAGTGTCGTCAAAAGGAGGACTAAAATACGGTCAAACATTACTTTTTACAACATATTTACACATATACACATACATATGTATTTATCGCCCTAAAATCGTTTTTAGAACGATTATATAAATAAATAAGATTTATGCCGGCAAAAAAATTGGCCAGAATTTTAATGTTGATTTCTTTGATTTATTGCAAAGTCAAATGATGTTATATTCACATTTTGAGAAAACAACTATTTACTAATTTATTAAAAAAGTCGTTAAACTACTCTAAATAGTGTAAAACCCAAAAAAAAATCAGGAAATCAGATGAGTATCCTTTTATTAGCGACACTTATTGCTGTGCAATGTTGCCAAACATTAAAAATGAAATTCCCAAAAGTTTGCTTTCCTTCCTTCCTCCCGTAAAAGATGAACAATACAAAGTTTCGAAAACCATGAGTAAAGTGTAAAGGTGTTCTCTAGGTACGGCAATCTTTAAATTAACTTTATACAACACATACGAGCAAACGGCCGGCCGGGAGGAAGGAAGAAGTGCAATCCATAAATTTTTGTTTAAAAACGTTTATTTGTAATAATAAATAATATACATAATAAAATAATATCTTCTTAGAAGATTCTTAAAATCAAATTTTGTTATCAGGTTTAATTAAAAAAAGGGAAGACAAATTCGCATATTACTTCAAAAATTTACAGCCATAACTCATTTTTAACATCTGTCATAGCCCATTTTAGACATCTGTCACCTAATTACAGGTGTCAAAATATGTATAAAATGACAGACGTCAAATATGACAGATGTTGAAAATGATCATCCTGTATACTGTTCCTGATATACATATACATATACAATAAAGTGACCAGATTCTGTCAAAAAAAATCTGGACATTTTGTATGAATTTACCTTAATTACAAAATTGACACAATGATACAATGCAAATTGTAAATTTGACGTTACTTAATTATTGTTGATTGTGACATTTTTGTATTTAAGGTTAGTTTACACAAATTGTCCCGTTTTTTTTTGACAGAATCTGGTCACTTTAATATACAAGGTGTCCCTAAACTTATTGGAATAAATTTAGGAAAAGATTGAGCAAGTCACCAGTCAATAAGACGAAAACCCAAATAAATATTTTTCCTAATTACTTATGTTTCCAAGATACAGGGTGATAAAGTGTTACTTATCATTTCAGTTTTTTTAATATAACCTCTACTATGGTAGTCTTGGAAAGGTGATATTTAATATCAGATAGGTATTATGCGAACAGTCACTTAAGTGTAATTACTACCAAAACACATATTCGCACATAATTATAATTGTTTGAGTGAACACAGTGTCGTAGAAACGGGGGTTGCTTTAAGCTTATTGTCCCATACAAACTTTGAGGTTAGGTTTTTATAACATTAAAATATTATATATTTTACTAAAACTAATATATATCTTAGAAAATAAGTTAAAATATATATATTTCAAACAAATTATTATATATTTTATAAATCATAATTATAGCACAAACGGCGCCTTATATTTCTGCATCATTCTGCTACTAATGTATTTTAAATAGCAGTAATATATATATAATAATTATAATTAGTAGGTATATTGAATTCTTGTTTTAAAATGAGATTTAATCTAATATCTAATCTAATATTTAAATATTGTTGACATACAGTTAATATTAATATTGCTATGAAAATGTCATTAAGACATGTAATTTGTCTTGTGATGTTCACAATAACTTGTGATGCGAAGGTTAACTTTTATTTGTACGACTCATTATATGTTATTGCGAAAAGTATATTTTAGATTGCTAAAAGTGCAACAATTGAATCTGTATATCCATATTGGTGTGACCCCAAGTATGGAAGCCTTGTATTCAATTTAAAAAAAATTAATGGAGTACCACGTGTGAATTTTAGCTTGAGCACAAATAAGGATTGGCCTGGAAATTCTTTTGTCGAAAGTATCAATTTTTATTCGATTATTTTATAATATTTTTTAAAGAAACAAATTAAAAAAGTGAAAAAACGCATTGTTTCTATCTTAATGTTTAAAAATTAAAACAAACTGATAAATTTTATAGTTTAGGTTGCTGTGGATGTTTACAAGTGGTCAGATAACCAATTCAAAGCAGCTGGAATATCGTCAACCAGAAATTTCTGCGACGCGTTGAAAATAGAAGCAAATTTTTTTTTGCCACTAGACGATTCCTCATTTAAAAATGCACGTTTGACTTGTCCATTCCAAAAAGTAAGAAATAAAAAAAATATAAACAATAATAATTCATAAAAAATTTGAAAGTGCAGATCATCAAAATTACTTGCAAACTAAGAGTCATATTTTATTTTTAGGGACCTCATACTATAGTAAACTTGGCTACCCAATTAACTTTCAACATTCCGTTTCCAAACACTATTGTGAAGACAGTTGTTAGATTTTTGCATGATAAACATATTTGGCTTAATTTTACTGTTACATCTAGAATTCAAGATATTATGACCAATTAATAAACAGTTTATTTGAGATGACCATTTACTTTATATTACACGAAAAAAAATCAAATTTATGACAATACAATTCATTATAATTAGAACCAATAAAATGCCAGTATTCCATAGTTACGCATTTTATCACAGCGACAATATTTTTTATCACCTTGTTTACACGTTGCTAAGGATTTTGACACTTTTCTTGATTTGACATTTGTTGACATTTAAATACCTAGGTACTGTGTTTGTTAAATGATTAAAATAATGAATTATAAACTCTAAAAGATCGATGAGTTGGTGTAAACGATAATAAAATTAAGGTAAGTTTGAGTAAATAAGGTTTATTATGGCACGCCGTTTTAACATTTATTAAATTTTTTAATTTAAAATTTTATTGGTTTAAAATTTTCCTAACTAAAAATTTTTGGTTTACATTTATAAATTTAAAATATTTTTAACTATCATGTATTGAAAGACAAAATTTACTAACTAACAGTTCACTTCTGTTTCTAAATATCATTTTTTAATAAAAATAATTTCCCAAGTATAATTTATTTGGGTGGCATTTTGTAAACTTAAATAAATATTTTATAAAATTATTGAGATTAATTTGGTTAAGTTAAATATTTGTAAACTCAAAACTATTGATATTCAAAAAATATTTTAAATATAAAATTCAACTGCAAAAGTTTAAAAATATTGATTTAAAAAAAATTGAATTTTAATATTTTATTCTTTAAAATTATTGGTTTGAATTTGTAAAGAGTCATTTAAATGATAGTCAATAAATTTTCAATACAAAAATTTGATTAATGTTAGTTTTAAATTTTAAAGTGGTAATTTTTGCATTAAAAATTTATCCACTATCATTTATATCACTCTTTACAAATTTAAACCAATATTTTTAACAATTTTAAATTAATTAATACATTTTTAAGACAAAATTTATAACTTTACATTTAAATGTAAGTCGATAATTTTTAAATTACAAAGTGTAAAAGTAGCTTTAGTAGAAGGCACAAGAGCCACGATGCAGCCAGTTTGATCTGCAGTGTTGCCAAATCGTGCTTGCTCCATAAATATTTGACGCGTTTTACAAATTATCGTAACGAAATGTTTCTTTATTACATAAATTTAATAATAGAACAACATTTTTAGTGCCTATTGTACTAAGTTAATTTGACAATTAAAAAACATTTTTTCTAATTTTTAAGAGACATTTTTTTTAAATGTAGTGCCACAATATTTCGTGGATGCATCATACAAATTCCCGCTTTCCGGCTTTTGTGGTGAGATCTCTCGAGAGTGTTAAGCCTGATTTATAGATTGTCTTCCTTCCTTCCTCCCTCTCCCTCTGGTTTAAATTTGTAGTCATTTAAATGATGGTCGATAAATTTTTAATCCAAAAATTACTACTTTAAAATTTAAAACTTACATTTAAATGTAATGTGAGAATTTTTGTATTAAAAATTTATCAACTATCATTTAAATGACTCTTTAAAAATTTATACCAATAATTTTGTGGTTTAAAATATTATAACTAAAACTTTTAAAAATCAATATTTTTAAGCTTAAAGTTTCACAGTTGCATTTTATATTTAAAATATTTTTTGACTATCAATTGTTTTGAGTTAAATTTTTTTAAATGATGATATTTAAACTTTTATCTAATAAATGCTAAAACGGCGTGCCATAGTTTATTAAAGTCTTTTTATATTTTAAAGCAAATTTTAATTTTAAATGTCAAACTGACAATTCGTTAAATCCTAAAATTCATTATATTTTCTCACTAAATATAACTCGTGGTATGATTAATTATCGACGATATTTACTCATTGAAACCGAAGCAGCACATTTCAATTCGAAAATATCATCGATGATAATCATACCACTTGGTATATTATGGGTGATAATATATTTATTTTAACAGCAGTTTTTTTTCTACGCTACTGGTACTGTATTCTTGTTTTCTTGCTTCTATTTCCAGAGTTTTTTTCTTTCTTCATTGTTAATCTCAGACTTATTAGCCCTCATATTATTTTAGTTATACTATTGGAACAATTTTTTTTCGACACGTTGCAAATCTTTTAAGTTCATGATTTTGTCTTGGTTTTATCAATAATTTTGTGGGCATGTTAACTAACGGAACGAAAAATAAAAGCGGACTATTTTTTAATGTTTTATTGTAACAAAGAAAATAACAAGAAAATAAATATTTACAAAAGATCATCACTCGACATCACTTCTTTTCCTTTTAATGGTATTGGTCGAACCCACTTCCCCCATGCGCCCCTAAACCTTGCGTTTGAGACAAACCATATTCTTGATGCCCAAAACTATCCTGACCGCCCCCTTGTTGGAACCCTCCATGACCTTGATCTGCCCCCAAAACGTCGCTGTAGTGGGTAGCACCCTCACTCACTTGATAACCTTCCCCTCCTCCGAAACTATGCCCCCCGTAACCCCCACCCAAGTGGCCACTACCGCCATCCCCGCCCCCTCCATGCCCACCCGAGCTGTACTTACTGGAGGCCACGAAGCTTCCCCCGAATGGACCCTTATGGCCATGGTTACCAACTGAAATCAAGAAGAAGAATTTGTTTGTTACAAACTTCATAAATTATTAAAAAGTTCTTACTTTTGTCGGTGAGATCGAAAGATTGCGATTTCTGGCCGCCCCCTAACCCGACAATGCTGACGCCGTGGTGAAAATCGCCGCCCCCGCTTTCACCGCCCCCCTGCTGGTGACCGCCAATATTTCCGCCCTCGCCCAGACCGTGACCGCCCAGGAAGCTGATGCCGCTTCCATGGCCGCCCAAATTGTAGCCGCCGCCTCCACCGCCGCCCCCGCCCAATGACAGACCGCCGCCATCGTGACCTAGAATTAACGAAATATGTGCTATTTTAATAAATAAATTAACGACGAAATTGTTCATGTTTATTTTGTTATAAATTATTAAAAACAGGGTTACATTTTTTACAGTGATTCAAAAAGGATAGGGGGGTTATTTTGATTATTAAAAAATACAAACTAAATAATTTGTTTAGTCTAAAAACAAATTAAATTTTTTTTTTAAATTCGGTTTAAATAACGTTACTCTTTCACGACATGAAAAAAATCATAACTAGGTAATAAATAGACATGCAACAATAGATAGCTAAGACACATTTTTGTAGGAAATCGAACGTTCTCCTATAGAATATTAAAGAACTAATGTCATAAGACGTCATTTTGTCGCACGCGGACAATTTATAAAACGAGCGACGAAGGAGCGAGTTTTGTAATGGACGAGTGCGACAAAAGGTCTTATGACATGAGGTCTTTATGCAATTTTATCTATTTCGCAAAAATTCTATAAAAAAATTAATTTTATACCTTAAATTTAATTTGGTCGAATTTTACTTTAGATAGTTGGTATCACAGTCACAGTTAATATCAAAATCGATTCGCCATGACGTCCTTATTTACAATAAGCGGCTGTTAATGTTAAAGAAGAAAAAAAGGAATTTCTTTGGTGTTTAACAAAATTTATTGCCTGAAAAGTCTCGTAAGTACTAGAAAAATCTTAAAAATATTATAACCAAAATATTATGGTGTTTAAAGTATAGCCAACCTATAAAATCAAAATTTTGGGTGGGATATAGTAAAAAGGTTTGTCAAAGTTTAAAAAATAAAATAAAAAATTAATCTTTTTTTTGGCTTCAAGTTGGCCTTTTTCACTTGGGTATTATCAAATTAATTGTAAAAAGAAATTATGGGATTTTTTTTTACGATATCGTTTAAAAATGATTTGTTTTTTAATTTTTGTACCCATTGGGACAACATATTATGTATAAGACATATTCGTGTTCAGAAACCTTAAATTATTCAAAAACCACATTTTAATATTAAAATAGCAAATTGCTAGCGACGTTTTTCTAAACTGAGAAAATTTGCTATATTTAAGGTTCATTAGGGTGCAAAATAATATTTAACTGTTATGCAATTTTTATGGTCGCATGCACAGAGCTTAGTTAAGATTTTGTGAGCCACACAACACTTTTATAATATTGAACAAATCATAACAAAATATTTATATATGGGTGAATATATCAAGATGTCCCCCAAGTGAAAATGATTATTTTGCATAAAATTTAAAGCAAAAACAGATTTACGGAGGATAGAATCAACACCTACATAAATGGTTATAAAAAATTTTTCTTTTAATTTTTAATAATATTTTATATTTGATTCGATTGCTTTGGATGTGTTTAATTTACTTAGTGAACTGATATTTTTAGTATGCTTTTACTACCTCAGATATTTGAAAACATATAGGTTAACCTAGAAAGAGTAACAGTCACGGAGGACAGGTTTTAGACTTTTAAAACATTGTAAAAAATAATTAATTGCGGTTAAAAATCTGGAACCTGAGCTGTAATATCTACTTAATTATGAAAGATCAAAACACAATAAAAGTGTAGGTCAAACTCATTTAGTTTTATTAAATATCACGGGTAACACCATCGGAGGACATTTCGTGAGGTGTAAGGTAAACGTTTTTTTTTTAATTTTACTCATAAAGATTATAATCTTTATGAGTAAAATTTAAAAAAAAACGTCTACCTTACATTAGTATAGATAAAATTCTATGCATGCAAATAAAATAACATAAAGAAAACCTTTCGCTTTCTCAACCTGATATTTTTTTCTATTTCATTCAGACTTTCGCACTTTCGCTTATATCTTAAAAAGTATAAAATAGAAAGCATAAGACTTACCGCTTATTATACCAGGTGCACAATGGGCGATGGCCAAGACAGCACTAGCTAGAATGAACTAAAACGAAAATTAAAATATCAATTAAGGATATCTTAAGGATAAACTTACAGCTCGCATTTTGTAAAAGCGTTTAGGTAAATTGGATGATGATGGAAATGATACATTTTATTGTGCGCTTTGGTCTTTTATAGAGAGGACATCCCCGTTCTAATATTTCGGTCGCAAAAGCGAAAGTCTTTCTTATGGCACGCCGTTTTACTTTTTAATGTCATGTTTATTAAAGCTAAATATTAATTCAAGTTGCGTTTTTAAAAATTGACTGAACATTTTAAAGTAAAAATTTTATGATGTCTTGGTATATTAAGTACACAATTTTAAGCACAGAATAAGAATTAAAGTAATTTTAATTCTGGAACTGAATGGCGTATTTTCTGACTAAAAAATTCGATGAATTAAAATTTGGATTGAGATAATTTTAATAAGGCGCTATTTGAGAAACACGCAGTCAAATTGAAATTATGTAAACCAAAATTTTAATTCATCGAATTTCTTAGCCAGTTAATTCAAGGTGCGCGACATTTATTTAAGAAAAAGTAATACTGAAATTATCATTATGTCGCAATTAATTTCTATTATTACTCGTCGACATAAAAATCAATTTACCTTTTAGAAATTAAAGTGATAAAGTTTCTTATTCGACACACAAATATTTTGCACGAAATATTTGTTTTAATATTTAAATGTTTATAATATTACTTAAAATTTTATTTGACTAATAAGAATTGAATACAATTTTATTCTTATTGTTATTTTTAAAAATTTTAATATTTACTTTTAATACGAATTATTTTGTTGTTTAAAACTCTTTGAAACAATTTTTATACGGGAATAAAGTTGTGGTATAGTTGATATTAATTATTATGTTATTTAAATCCAGCAATACGAATTTTCATTTAAGAATTTTTCTTTTAATCCGATTATTTTTTTAGATAATAAATTCAATGCTATTTGTATGTGACAGAATAATAATTCCTTGTTTTTATTTTTTGGAATAAATATTATGTACCTCGAATTTTCTTACTGAAAAATTCGATGAATTAAAATGTTGGTTATCACTCGTAAACAGAATTTTAATTTGGCGCTAGTGCATATTGCGGTTGTGTTACGTACTACTGCCACCAAGCGAAGGTAAATAAATTAGGCAACGGTGCATTCAAATTCAGTGCTGTCATTTTATTTACTTACCTGTTTTGCTTTCCTTAATTTCTTATCTAATTTATTAATTTTTTGAAATAAAAATAAAGAAAATCTGTTTTACTAAAATATTGGTTTTTATTGACTAAAAGATAAACAACAATGGAATATTTTCAATCTACCTTTAATTACATTCATTAAGTTTGTGGATTATTTATACCTACTGTACAGGTAGTCGGCTCGGACACGTAACGAGTAGGACAATTCTGGTAATTATATAAATATCTTCTTCTGCGAGAAATCCTATTGCATAGACAACTAAGCAAATAATGAACCACAATTAAATTGTCTATTAGGAGAGTCCATATCTAAATTATTTCGTATAAAGTGAGGTTAGCCAGCAGGGCAGTCTTGTTGAAATGCACCCCTTACATAATTTAATAATCATTATCATGTCGATATACATTTAAATTAAATGATTTAATGTATTACATTATTGATAGCACTGAAAATTTTGGACTGCACTGTTGCCTAATTTTCGCTTCGTGGCAGTAGTACGTAACACAACCGCACTATGCACTAGCGCCAAATTAAAATTCTGTTTACGAGTGTTAAACAACATTTTAATTCATCGAATTTTTCATCGAGAAAATTCGCCTTGCGCTTACAGATTTAAATCTTGTCTAATTTTTATTCCAAAATAAATATTCTACTTTAACTTAATTTTAAATTAATAAATGAAATATTATTATTTACATATAAGCACCTCTTTTAAATAGAAAAAAAATATTCATACAATAAAAACTGAGGCTTAAAAATATAGATCACACCAGAATGATGTAAATATATATGGAACCTTATCCAATACACCAAAAAATAAATTGGTAGATTTTAATTTATAATTAAATTTAATTTAGTAATTTTTATAAACGTTTATATTTTCTAGGCAATTTTTAATTTTGATAATTTTTGTTTTGAGTTAATTTTTTGATGTCATTAAAAAGTAAAACGGCGTGCCATACTTTCTCTTTTGTTGATAGTCAGTCGCAGGGTCAATACACATCCGAAAATGTCCAGTCACCGGAGATGTGTCACCTCTTTAGTTTCATATTAAAGCCATTTTTTGTTATGTTGAATTAATGAAAACACTTTCTTACATTAATATATTTTATCTACTACTATTGCAAAATATTGTTGTTTTTTTTCGGGAATAATGATAAAAATTATAATTAATATATAAATTATATATATATATATATATAAATTCAGATTTTATTTATTTATTTTTGAACATCATTTAATTTTCTACTTATTGGAGTAGATAATAATAATAATAATAATAGTAACCATGCAATTCGGGTTAAAGGGTTTTGTTTTTGTTTTTCTGCCAAAAATTCTTCATGTATAGATATCTCCACGCGGTGTTGTCAACATTCGATAAAGAAATACCTTGTTATGGCCTAGGCCGATAAAAATTTTATGAGGCAAGTAATTAGTTCGATTTTTTCTCGCTAGAGGTATTGTTTTGACAAATTAATCCTTTTTTAAGAAATTAACGTACTAAACTTGTTTAATTTATTTATAATAAGCACTAATTTGTTTGTTTTACTATTAATGTTTAATATTTTTCATTAAATTATTGTAAAATTAAATATGAATAATAAAACAGTTTGGTTAGGCAACCAAGAAAACGCACGATTATTTTTCTACGATTTAAATTATCTTTAAGTTTTAATTTGCTTTAAGTTTTCAGTGAAATTAAAACATTCCAAACTACCTATTTTTTAAATAAAAATCCAAATAAATTGAAATTAGATACCTACCTATTTATTAAACATTATTAATAATTGAATGGCTGGGTCAAAACTTTTTTAAATTTGACTTTACTAATTTGACTATTTTATTCAGAAAATTAGTCAAATATGACTTATAATTAGTTATTTTTTTCCAATTAGTACTTTTTAATAAAACATATCATATTTATTCACAAAAATTTATTCTTGTAAGTACTTAAATTTTATCACAGAATTTAATTTATTTATAACGTCAAGGAGGTGTTCTTTTTATTTTTGATCTTGATTCAAATGCCGAGCATTCGCATTGTTGCTCTCCACAGAAATTGCAGATATCATCTAGAAATAACAAAAAGTATTATTATAAAAGCTAATTCTGTTCATACGAGGTGTGTTCAGAAAATAACCGGTTGCCATAAAATTTTCTTTATTATGTTGGTATACATGTCCCCGAAGTATGATAAAAACTTTAGCTGTTTTCATTGTTTACTTTGTCTGTGGCAGCCGCTAAGGTTAGACGTGTTTTATGAGCTCGGCGATTTTCGTTCGTTAAATGAAATGGATCAAAGAATTTGGTATCCAATTTTGCTTAAAAAACGAAATAAATTTTGTGAAATGTTAACAAAGGCCTATAGTGAGTCTGCTATAAGTAAAACAAGAGTTTACAAGTGGTATAAGAGTTTCCAAGATGGCCGTGAACGCACAAGCACATTAACAACCGATAAAAACATGGAAAAAGTGGAAGAAATGGTTATAAACCATCAGAGAAGTCGCTGATGATGTTGGTATATCGATTGGCTCATCCCATGAAATTTTTTCCAATGTTTCGGGTATGAAACGCGTGGCAGCAAAATTTGTTCCAAAATTGTTAAATTTTGAACAAAATTTTTGGCCAAAAATAATACTGTAATGATGCCCCAGCCTCCATATTCGCCAGACATGCCTCTGTCTGACTTTTTCCTATTCCCAAAAATAAAGAGAACCTTAAAGGGCCGTCGTTTTGCAAGCATAGATGACATTAAAAGCGCATCGCTGAAAGAACTAAAGGCTATCCCAAAGATCGAGTTTTAGAAGTGTTTCGAGTATTGGAAGAAGAGCTGGCACATGTGCATAATATCCAATGGAGACTATTTTGAAGGCGACAACATTAATGTAGACGAATAAATAAATATTTGTTTCAAAAAACGAAAATTCCCGATAGTTTCTGAACACACCTCGTACTGAATACAGTTTTAATTAAGCAATTTCTTACCGGCGAAAATTCGCGGAGTAGCCCATTTTTTCCCCTCGAAAGTGAAAGGATGACAGTTTCGATTAAAACTCTTATCGAAACTGCAATATTTCCGCAAATTATGTGGAATAAATAAAATGTTAATTTTGATACATACTTTTTTAATTTTGGCGAATTTTTCTTATCGCTATCTCCCATTTCTGCTTCCAAATCCTTACGCAAAATTTCGTAGCATCCACAACTATATCTAAAATATTTTATTCACCATGTTTAACAATACCTTATGGATTTAATTACCTAGTTCCACCGGAGCATTTTGAACAATTACAAGCACCATTGCCAGACCATCTTCTGCATAGTTCCATGTAGCAAAATGGGGCTGATTCTTCTATAACTTTAGGACGGTTTCTAAGAAAACAATTACTTATATTTAATGACAAAAATATCCATCTACCTCACCTATTGTTGGATTCATTTCTTTTACGTGTCGTTGCATTTTTTCCATTATTTTTCCTACCCTTATCAACATTGCCGATCTTTTTGGGCAATGGTGATACTTTTTCAGTTTTGCGAGTGGGAATTTTTACTGGAGTAACTAAGTAAATAAATTGTTGAAGTTTTTGGTCTAAGAAATATTAAGCAGGACTAAACTCACTTGAGGAAGAGTGCATCACATCAAAGTTACAAGAAACGTCCCGACTTTTTTCCGAGGTCGATTTCACTATATTAGGAGTGGTAGCTCGGCAGAAAGTTTCCGTTTTTATAATTAAACAATCATTCGAAGATGGATTTCTATAGGAATTTAAAACAGTAAGATCCACATCGGAAAATTTTTCCTCCAGATCGAAAATCGGTTCTGAAGAATCGGAATCTTCCAAACTTGATGACTTGGTTAATTTTGCGAAGTCTACCGGTTTTGTTAGTCTAGATTGAAGTATAAAGTTGAGTTGGTTTCGCAGATTTTCATCTAAATCTTGGTTCTATAAAATGTATAATTATATAAGGTGGGCCATAATGTTGAGCGGTTTTGAACGAATTATAACAAGCAAACATTCTGGAAAATCTTATTTAATTATCATTCAAAACCGCTATTCAAAAATACTAATCGAATTACATACGTTAATATGAGGGTCTATGATGTGTGCCAGGCGAAGAGATCTGGCTTTTTCGTTGATATCTGGATGAGTCAGAAGACTAAACATTATGCCGTTTATATAAGGAAGACAGTTATATTTTCTGTGCTCCAACAAAATTTCTATGGTTTGCACCAATTTTTCGGTCGCGTTAGTTCTAACGCACAACTCGTGCGTTTCAGATTCAAGACACAAGTTCATGATCCAAGCTGTCAAGTACTCCCAGCGGTAGTCGCTTTGAAACGAAATTGGAGTTTGATGGCAATATTCAATCTGCCAAAAATTTTAGTTATACCATCGTACAAGAAAGCATGGTACAGAGTACCATGAGTTACACTACAAAATTTCTATATCCCTGATAGCAAAATTTGATTCTAAGAATCTTCTAAGAAGATATGACCCGGAATAATGGAATATTCTTAGAACCTTCCCTTATTGCTAAGAATGTTCTTAGGGACTTTTAAAACATTTAATAGATACCCTTTTAATGATGCAATTAGATTCTTAGAAGTTTCTTAAAACATTCCTAAAAAGCATTCTAAGAACATTTAAAGAATACGTTTTTGGAATGTTCTTAGAATGTTTCTTATGGAGCTTCTAGGAAGCTTTTGAGAATTTTTCCAAATATGTCAGATACCCACGTTCTAATAGGTTGGATTCTACATTCGTAAAATTCTTCAGGAGGCGACAAATAGGCCTCACTGTCATAATATGACAGTGAAATGTATTTGTCGTCCCCTTAAAAAATTTTGCGATCAATATTTATTTAAAAATATTAAATCAACAATTTGACCTCTAAACCATAAGTTGTATGACATTATTTCATAAAAAGTAAAATTGGAAAATTTTGTGGGATAAGTCAGATTAGATTGCAGTTGAAGATAGTTAGGATTATTATACATAAAAATGTTAATTCAGATATAAAAAATCGGTATACAAATTAATAAATATTTATTTTTAACATAAAATAAAATATAAAAAAACAAAATATTTCCTTATAAAATAATTCTTCATAAAAGAAAAAACCAAATAGTTCTTCATAAAAAAAAAACATTTTTCATTGTATTTAAGTTGGATAGAAGATTTTATGTAAAAGCCGGATAATTTAGATACCTATAGTAAAAGTATTTTTGTTATCGAATATTGTTTTAATTTAACAAATAACTATAAAAAAATATTTTGGGTTGTGTTTTTTACTTAGTATAGGTACCTCAGTGTTGTAACGTATCTAGTTACAAGTAACTAGATACAGTATCTAGATACTTTTATGTATCTGTTTGTGTAACTAGTTACTTATCCCAATAAGTAACTAGGTATGTTAAGATACAAAGATACATTTTTAATTAAACTGCGACTATTATTTATTAAAAAAAAATATTATAAAAAATAAGTTATTTTAAATAAAATATTATAAAAAAAATAAAAATAATAAACATGTATATTTTTGTTGTCACTTTAAAATTCCCTATTTTAAATTTTTTAAAGCAAAAAATAATTTGTATGTATCTTAAAGTAACTAGATACTTTTTGAAGGTAACTGTATCTGTAACTAGTTACTGCAATAAAATATGTATCTGTATCTGTATCTAGTTACAAATTTTGGTAAGTAACTGTAACTGTAGCTAGATACTGAAAATATTGTAACTGTTACAACACTGAGGTACCTTTATACGTAGATTATGGTATATTTTACTATATATAGGTACCTAAGTGAACTGAATATGCTTAACAGAATGTTCCAGGAATATTTCTGAATGAACTTTCTATAGCAATTACTTTCTTAACATTCTAAGCATATGTTTAGAGTGGATTAATTTTTACCACTAAACTTTGCACCTTCTAAGAACCTGCCTATAGGCCAGTGAGAATATTCTTAGGATTATGCTATATTTCTTTTAAGCATGTTCTTTAGAAGAAATATAGCATGATCCTAAGAATATTCTCACTGGAAGGTTTAAAAAACATTCTTAGAACATGACTAGAAGAAATATAGCATGATCCTAAGAATATTCCCACTGGAAGGTTTAAAAAACATTCTTAGAATAAACTGTGCTATCAGGGATGAGTTACACTACAAAATTTCTATATATAGCACTCACCAAATACTCAAAAACTCCCGCCTGGAGCATTACAGATCTGGCTTCTTTTTCCATCGATAGCTTTTGAAGAGTCGCTATTAACATGTCGAATTTATTGCTCACTGGTATTCTTTCGTTGTTTAGAATTTGGGGTAGAAATGTGCTTTTAAGAACGGCGCAATTTTTTCCGTTCAAGTAGTCTCTTCCAAGACGAAAAGAAGCAAACGTGTTTGTCATCCTAGCCATGTTTTCCTGAATAATAGAACCGGTAGATTTAAATGATAAACGATAATTTTGATTTAAAACCTGCAAAGGTAGATGGTCGTGTTTTAAAAACAGTTGAACTAAATTATCAGTGGTATTCTCTACTAAAAACAATACATCATTTCGAATATAGCAATTCAAAATATTCTCCCTGCTTTCTCTTAATTCTTCCGATGTCAACAGCTAAAATTCAAAATCATTTATTTCATTTTATAAGCCTTTCCCAAAATTACCCATCTAAGAGATTTTAACAAATTATTGCAATCTTTCGGATCACCATCAATTAAATCACGTTTTATTTTAGAGTAATTCCAATTTTCATTTTCATCGGGATTTTCATCAATTTTGTAGCAGTTGATTTTTTCTCGTGGCGAGATAGCTTCGCTAGGACTTTTACTTGAAGAAGCCGAATTTCTGTTCCCTAAATGTTTCAAAGAAAGTGTTTCATTTGAAGTATTATTTTCATCTTCGTCAATTTTTTCAATACTTTGACAAGCATCTATCACAGTATTTATAACATAATCCAGAATCTCCTTTGAATTTTTATGGGCCGAAGTGGCACTTCTGTCGGTTTTACATTCACTTAAAGCAATTGCTTCGGCTTCAACCAAATAAGCTTGTTCTACATTAGAAACACTTTTTGAATCGTTGGGCGTTAAATTTTCATTTCTGGAATTATCAGATGATATTTGAAGGGCGGGAATCGCTTCTTGTTCGATAAATAGATCGGGGTAGATGTTTTTACATGAGTCCAGCATTTGGTTCATCTGTTGGGTTTGTCCCATCACATTGTTATGCAAAGCGTTGGTTAATTCCGTTGCTACAGCTTAAGGAATAAAATAATAAATAATGAATCATAAATAATGAATAACAAAAAATGTATCATAAAAATGAATGAAGAATAATGAATAATGAATAATGAATAATGAATAATGAATAATGAATAATGAATAATGAATAATGAATAATGAATAATGAATAATGAATAATGAATAATGAATAATGAATAATGAATAATGAATACTGAATAATAAATACTGAATAATGAATTCAAACCTGTTAATTTTTTATGGTCATCCTGAAGAGTTTGAAACTTCTTTCTTAATATGCAAAAGTTTTCGCTCGAATTGGTTTCACCAGTGCTGACTCTCGATGAAACATCATCGATTTTTGAATATTCAGGTGGTCCATTTTCATTCGAAATTACATCGGAAATCGAAACATCAATTTTATCCTTTTCCTGATTTGAAGGTTTCAACACGATCGTTTTAGAGTCGGCATTGGATATGTCCAATTTTGAAATGTTTGCGTCTTTTATGAAGGCTGAGCATGTGTCGTGAAAATTTAGATTTTGTAAAAACTACAAAAAGCGTGTTTTTTATTTTGCCCATAAATGGGGTTGCGACATGATGTCAAAAATCAATGTTATTTATTATGGAAATTAGACACAGAAACAATTTTTGCCATCAATTTTTCGTTAAATATTACGAATGAATTATACGCAACAGTCGTGACAACACTAACGAATGAAGTATGTAGTTAAATATGTCATCTGTTTCTAGGTTATGTTTTTTTATCTGGAATGCGGCAACGTTGCAAATTTAGGGTTTTGGTTGGTAAATACAGTTGTCAAGTTGGTCGCATTGATTAAAACAAACTAAGCTAGTTATAAATCTAATTGTGGTTATGTATAAATTATTGTAGGTTACATTGTGCAGTTGTCAAGTTGAGTTGTCGAAATTCGTAGTTAAAAATGCAATTAATTTGGCTTTGGTGGTGCTTGGATGAGTAAAATCATATAAAAAAGTAGTTAAATATTGGTTGCTTTACGGCCCAGAAGATAAAGTATTCCTAGCGGATAATAATCTTCGCTTTCAAAAGAATTTATATAAAAGAAATTAAAATTTTTTGTGAACGTAAATGTTGTCTAATGGTAAATAATGTGAAAATAATGTGTGATATTTATAAAACCAAATTCGTTACTTTTTTACTCTAAAAATGTCCATAGGGCGATGTACTTTTTCTTCCATTGTGGCATTTGGCATAAATACATCAAAATGAACTCATTCGAATTCTTTGCTATTATTTTTGGCATAATTATCTTTTTATTTATAATTGACAATTACTTATCAATAATAAATATTATTGTCAATTTGACAGTGTCAAAGTATTTAATTAAATTCTTTAGCAGAAGTACCATTTTTAAATACTAAAAATACCAAGTCAAACTGGCATAAGCCACCAACCTAACAAAAAAACACGTCCAGATAAAAAAAAATTAATTGTATTTTCATTTTCGATATACTTCATTCGTAAGTCTTGAAATGTAGAAAAAAAAATGACAAACTCGTATATATATACCCCATTGAAAATTACTACCAACATAATAAATCTGTCAAAGTCCAAATAAAAATAATTAAATTTACCATAAATATAGTTTTGTATGTGCCCAACTTGTCCCCTTTTCTAAAAACAAAGAAAAATACAACACGATTAAAATAAAATTCTTTAAAACTTCTTACCGCAGCTCCGTCGAAATAATCGAAGACTTTTGTTCCATTGCGGGTATTTTTCAGGACTGGTGACACCGCATTTGTTCCGTTTTTGACTATTTTACGAGATGAACCGCGCTGGTTAGTTCTTTAGGTCGATATATTCAAATAGCGCTCCAAGTGGGACGTCAAAAATTTGCATGTTATCCGTAATATATAGGTAGTAAGTTGCGTGTTTAGATACGCTTATTGTCGGCCTACTTTTTATAAATCTGTGCCTTACCACGGTGATGTTACGTGCCATCTCGCCGATTTGCATTTTTACCGCATTGGGGACAAATAGTTTATATTTATTACATTTTCCACTTAAATAAACACCATTTTTAACATCAATAACATATTAATAAACAAATAACACGCCATGGTATTTAAAATCAAGCATATTGAACAACGCGCATGATATTTAAACTTCGCGCCGGTGGCGCTGTCATCGGTCGGAAATTCCGCGGTTGCGCTCTTTTCCAGTCGGTCTCCATCGAGAAGATCGTACTTCTGTAACCAAAATAGTTTCTTTTGATTATTGGGTGCATCAGGCCCAATACATAACTTTAAAATGGTGCAAAAAAAGGTAAATATCTTTCTCCATTATGTGTACAGTATATTTTTGCGATTCCGGGTTTTATTTATTAGTTTTTTCTTAAATAAATTTCGACGTTTACATGTGACGTTTTTGGCGTTTATAAGTAAAAATATGTTAAATTGATGGGTATCTCGCCTAAGTGATGGCTGTGTTTAAGATATTTAACTATATTTACAACAAATATTAGTAATAGAAGTAACATATTTTTACTTTGGTAAAATTTGAAGGTTAGGTTGTTATATTGACAATAGCTGGCCATACACAGACGTTATTGCGCGCGGTTTATCGTGTTATCTGCAAAAACATATGGAAAATCATGTACGTGAGTGAGTATCGCCGCGCAAAATGATAGAACGGGAAGGGATTTCAGACGTGCTTTTCTCTGGAGTGTGGCGTGTCCACACGCCACATTCCGCGTCACGGTTTACCTTTGCTTGGCAAAATTTCACGTTGAAAATTTGTACATGATCACATGCAGTTTCAAACGACTCGATAAATGACACTTTTTGCCCACTCACATACGATTTTTCCTTTGAAACTGATATACCACGGGCAATCACTTGCTAAATCATTTGAATACTTTATCAAGTGTATGGAACATGACGCTTTTTTTGCCATGCCGTTCTTTCGTGCATACTAACCGCTACATCCCAACACGCCACGATAAACCGCGTGAAATAACGCCTGTGTATGGCCAGCTAATGTGTTTATTACCTACTTCATAAGCAATATTTGTGTTGGTTTTAGCCTAAGAAGAAGGTTGGCAAGAAAGTAGCAGCCGCCCCTTTGGCAGTGAAAAAAGTTGAGCAGAAAAAGGAAGTAAACCCGCTTTTCGAGAAGAGGCCAAGAAACTTCGGCATTGGTAAGTTTTCTTTGATAATTCATGTATTTAAACTGCGATAGACTTACTTTTATAGGCATAAAAATTACAAAACATTTGTGGTAGTTTTTGAGTTTCGAGGATTGAATTTTATATCATCCAAAAACACTTCGACATATGAACATTTTTTTTTACTTTGTACTGTCAATGCCTTAGTGTCTTTTTTGTTTGTTTCCATAGTAACCCCTATACATACTTGATTATTTTAAGTTTTAATACAGTTTTTATAACTTAATTGTTTTAAAATTGAAATTGTTTTGTATTTTTTATTCTTTATAACCTATATTACATTTTTCATGATGATTATTTTTTATGTCAGAAACCAAATGGTGACATTTATAATACGAGCTTTTTAATTCTGAAATTTTTCGATGAACTACAAGTTTCTCCGAAGAATAAAACTTGGTCATTTATGAACGGGTGTTTTTTTTTCGTTTAAGGTCAAGACATTCAACCTCCACGTGATTTGTCGAGATTCGTAAAATGGCCCAAATACATCCGCATTCAAAGGCAAAAGGCCGTTTTGCAAAAAAGATTGAAGGTCCCACCACCAATCAACCAATTCACCCAAACTTTGGACAAACAAACTGGTAGGTACCAAAAAAAATTAAATTTTATTGAGGTAAATTTTTTTTTAATTTTAAGTTTTGAAATTTTAAATAAAAATTATAAATTTCATATCAATAAATAAGGAAAATAGCGTTCCTAGCAACGGTAAACAAAGGCCCAGCAACTGTATGGTTGCCATGGCAACGGTAACGTTTTTTTTGTGTAGAGTAGGATGTTTAAAAACAAATTCTTTGGATGTCAGAAAATTTCATTACCTTACATAATTTTATTGTCTGGTTAATTTACAATTATTAGTTTTTCTGAAAATTTTGGGCTGATTTTTTTTATAAAAATCATTGGTTTTTTTCTTTCCAACAAATAAATGCGTTGAAAAATAATTAATTGAAAAGTTAAAGCTTTAAACCATAAAAATTATTTCTTTTGATTAATGACAAATGAAAAGTGAACAAAAATTATTTTTTCAAAATATCAAAAAAAATTTAGTACGTCATTAAAAAAATTCTAAATATTAAATTAACCATTGACAATAAAAATAATGTGTCGCATATTCTGGGGGTTTTAATCGAGCAAAACTTTTATGAAGAATTTCTAGGAAATGTAACATTTTAATATTAAATCCATGGAGCCTACACAAGGGGGGAGTGCGAACTCAATAGGGGAAATAGGGTTGGGACATGCAATTTTTTTATTTCATATTTGAAATCTGCGCATACAAGTTTGTTATTATTTTTTTTCCTGTTTCTCAAACAACACTTAAACGTGAGCTTGAATAGAGCGCGTGACGTCATGATTTTATAATTTAAATGGTATACTGATATGTCAGAATTACAATTATTTTTCTACAAATTGTCAAAATCAACAAAAAATATTTTTTTTTAATTATATTTGTTTTTAATAAAATTTACTTCACTGCCCTTTAAAATTAACGCATAATAAATAAAAAAATTATAACTCTAAAACGCCTTTACCAATCTTGATGAAATTTTGTATAAAAATACTTCAACTTATATCTCAGTTTACAGTTTGAGGGTTTTTCAAAAAAATATTTTTAAAGCTCTTTAATTGAATAATAAAAAAACGTTCTAAAAATAACTTTTAGTAAATTATAAATAAGGTGTTAAAGACCGTATTTTTGTTAGTATACCCTAAAAATTTTGTACAAATCAAACGAACAGTAACAAAGATACAGCGCTTCAAAGTCGGTAAAAATTACCATTTTTTGATTATTTTGCTGAAAAATGGTAATTTTTGACGACTTTGAAGCGCTGTATTTTCGTTACTGTTCGTTTGATTTGTACAGGATATTTTTTATTTACTCAAAAAAAAATGTTCCTATAAAAGTTTTTTTTCGGGCGTTTTTTATTATTAAATGAAAGGGCTTTATGGATATTTTCTAGAAAAGCCCTTAAACACGTAAACTGAGATATTAGTTGAAGATTGGTAGAGGCGTTTTGGAGTTAATTTTTTTTTACTTATTATGCGTTAATTTTGACGGGCAGTGTATAAAAAAAATAAGTATCTTATAAACAAACAAATCACCGTCCGCAACTGTCAATTTTTTTTGTATATTCCTTTATTTTATTTAACAAAATAAGTAGTTTTTCTATATGAATTTATTTAAATAGTGTCAGATAATTGTGCTTTAGTTTTATATCTTTTAAGTGCTTTTTGGATTTTAGAAACTTTTTTAAATCATTGATTAAAATTTTAAAAAATACGTGATTTAAATCAGGCAAACCCTGTATTAAAAGAATTCATTTGCCAACAAAATGTCATAGAATTTTGATAAAACAAACTGGTTTTGAAATATTTAAACAATTTTTTATGATGATCTTAGTATTTGCTATCAGAGTAATACTGTTGATAACACTCTACCACCAATAGAATCTGTCTGAGAAAAATTATAAAACTCGCTAAAATTCTTTCTTTTTTCGCGCAAACCTTACAAAAAAAATCATCCTTTCAGCCACACAGCTGTTCAAGATGCTTGAAAAGTACAGGCCAGAAACTGAACTTCAAAAGAAGAACAGACTGAAGGCCAAGGCCGAATCCAAGGTGGCCAAGAAAGAAGAGGCGCCAGCCAAGAAGCCAAACGTGCTCCGCGCCGGCACCAACACGGTCACAAAACTGATTGAGCAGAAAAAAGCTCAACTGGTGGTCATCGCCCACGATGTCGACCCCATTGAGGTTAGTGCGTTGCATTTTAGGTTTTAGGTTGTTTTTTTGTCGATTTTCTATGATGCTTTTGAATTTCTTCAACTGAAAGTTAGTTTTTGCTTAAAAACAGCTGCAAACATGAAGCCACTTGACTCTGAGAATAAGTTGAAAAATCGTCGTTTTTGTAACTTTGCGTGCGGAAAAAAACAATAGTTTTCGTTCCTTTTCAGCTGGTTTTGTTCTTGCCTGCCCTCTGCAGGAAGATGGGGGTGCCGTACTGCATCGTGAAAGGCAAAGCCCGCTTGGGACTGCTGGTGAGGCGTAAAACTTGCTCGGCTGTTGCCCTGACGCAGGTGGACTCTGGGGACAGATCTAACCTCAACAAACTGGTCGAGACGATCAAGACCAACTTCAACGACCGCGCTGACGAGATCAGGAAACACTGGGGGGGTGGGGTGTTGGGCAGCAAGTCCGCCGCCCGCCTTGCCAAGCTCGAAAGGGCCAGGGCTAAGGAGTTGGCTCAGAAACAGGGCTAGGTTTGGCCTTGCGACTGTAATAAATAAGATTTATAAGTTACCGGTGCCGCATTTTTATTTTCTTTTCCCTCTAACAGCAGATCTCAACTAAATTGGTGAATTGGTTAAAAGAATAATTAGGTTTGTCAAAATTAAATTTTGATAATACTAAACATACTTCAATAGGTAAAAAGGTAAGTGAAGAATGTCCCTAACTTTTAATTATATGCCAAGATATTTAAAACGATGTGGCTCCCGTCCCGAGGCGGGACTTAACTTCGATCCCGACAGACGTCACACACTGTAAATCCGTTTTTATTCCCTGAGCTTTTATAATTGGTGTCAAGCTGGATGGCTTAGATGGTAGGGCGGTCGCTTGGCATGCGAGAGGTACCGGGTTCGATTCTACTAGAAGTTGTCAAACTTTTTTTATTTTATAAATTTGTTGTTTCTTTGTTAAAAAGTGTTTTATTTTTTTCGTAACATAAATTTGCCCATTTTAGTTGGGTTTTTTGCTCAATGGGGCGGGGGGGGGGGGGCTCAATGGGGTCGGTTGGGTTGTGTTGTTGAGTTTGGGTTGGTTTGGTTTTATGACGTAACTAACGTGCCCTTAACATGTATACAGGTACAATTTATTATTATTATTATTTTATTATAACATAACAAATCTTAAAATTATGACGTCAATCGGGACGGGAGCCACAGCGTATTTAAAAAATATAATTTAATTAAAAGTGATATAGCTTCAACCACCCTTAAAAAGGAAATGAAGGTGTAAGTTTTGTACCCCAAATAATCTTTGGATATTGAAATAAAATGATGAACAAATTAAATTTACGTTATATCAAAATTTTCTAAATCATTTGCTTACATTGCCTAACTTGCATACATCTATGTGATTTGGCTTTGTAAAAAAGCAAAAAGTGGCATAATATTCATATTATGTATTTTAATATGTGTAGGTATAATAATAGTATATTAAAGAACAAATGTCATATGAGGATTTTCTTTGGTGTTAAACAAAATTTATTGCCAGAAAAGTACTAGAAAAATCATAAAAACCAATGTGCAAAATATTATATTGTTTAAAGTATAGCCAACCTATAAAATCAAAATTTTGTGTGGGATAAAGTATCTCATTACAGCACCGAAAGCGGTGTTATAATGAAGTCGTTATGAACGCAAAATAGATAAAAATATGTTATTTTATTTTTCAATGCAATCATATGAAAAGGAACCAGTCTCAGTCCAAAATGATTTGTATATGTATGAAATTTCCAAAACCTATTAGTTTTTTTCCAAAACTTTGAAATTTAAAATCAAGTCATCATTATTTGGGCGATTTCCAAATTTTTTAAAATCATTAGGATATTTGCCAAATGTATAATTTTAATTTATTTTTTCTCCAAAAATTCCCAAAAAATTAAGTTCTTTTTTATCTGGATAAAAATTATTGTGAAAGTTTGAGTCCATAATATAATAATAGGTCCATAATATAATAATAGTTCTATCATCGCAATTTTAATTTTTTTTCCTCAGCAAGGTTTTGTCTCAGAACTCAAACCATTGAGTTAACAAAATTGACTCGAAAATATTTTTTTAAGAAAATTAAATTCTCTACAAAAAAGGTTAAAGTGAAATTTTCCGTCAGATGAATCATTTCCTTAAAATCATGCCTTAAAAATTGGTATAGTTAATTTTTCATTTTGATTTTTTAAATTGGAATTTTGTAATTCATGTAAAAATCAGTACTCGTAAAAAAACGATAAATATTCTTATGGGAAATCAAATGCTTTACAAAAAAAGCCTCTCAACATTTTTGGCTAAATTCACTCAATCAAAAGTTATTTAAGGTTAAAATTTCGTTTTGACTTAAAATTTAACCTTGAATAACTTTTGATGGAGTGAATTTAGCCAAAAATGATAAAAGATTGTAGATCATTTGATTTCCCATAAGAATATTTATCGGTTTTTTTCCAGGTACTGATTTTTATAGAGATGGGAAAATTCCCATTTGACGAAAATTCCCGGAAACTTTCCATCGAAAATTCCCGAAAGTTTCAAAAAAAAAATTTTATTGCGAAAATATTTTTTTTTATGCCAGGGATTTTCAAAAATATATAACACATTAACTTTTTGTCAAATTTTATTAATAAAAAAAATTTTAATAAGAATGTAACTGCAATACTATTTTTAGTATCTTTTACTTTGGAATATTCCTATTGTATACTGAAACCTACAAAATAAAAATAAAATGTTTACTACTAGAAATTAACTTCTAGTAAATCCTAGAAATTACGTAAAAAAAATTAAAAGGGACAAAGTAACTAATATCGGGACTAAAATATAGGAATATTGAAAAGTAAAAAATAATTCCAAACACTAGATTTTTTTCTTGGCATTGTGCTATGCCTATAAATAAACAACAAAAATGTAAGAATGATTTTAACTTTGTTTATTGTTTTTATTTGGTTTACCTTTTTTTAAAAAAGTTTTTTGTGAGGATGCTGAATAATCCGGCTTCATTAAGGTTATTTAACATAACTTACATTATTTATACTTCTTCTTCTGCTTTAAATTAACACACATTAAATTCTTATTCAAAGTTTCTTGGCCTTGTATCATGGCCTTAACGAAAATCAGCGGTTAAACAATTTACATTTAAATGAAAAAAATAAGGAAAGTTTCCAAGGAATGTTTCCGGTAGCTTAAAAGAAACTTTCAAAATGAAAATAAATTCCCAATTGGAAACTTTCCAAAACGGAAAGTTTCCTTAAAATGGAAACTTTCCGATTCCCATCTCTAGATTTTAACTAGAGATGGGAAAATTCCCATTTGACGAAAATTCCCGGAAACTTTCCATCGAAAATTCCCGAAATTTTCCGAAAGTTTCAAAAAAAAAATTTTTATTGCGAAAATATTTTTTTTATGCCAGGGATTTGCAAAAATATATAACACATTAACTTTTTGTCAAATTTTATTAAGAAAAAAAATAAAAAAATGTTTATAAGAATGTAATTACATGCAGTTAACTGCAATACTATCTTTTACTTTGGAATACTTATTCCTATTGTAAACTGAAACCTACAAAATAAAAATAAAATGTTTACTATTAGAAATTCACTGCTAGTAAATCCTAGATATTACGTAAAAAAAATTAAAAGGGACAAAGTAACTAATATATAGGAATATTGAAAAATAAAAATAATTCCAAACACTAGATTTTTTTCTTGGCATTGTGCTATGCCTATAAATAAACAACAAAAATGTAAGAATGATTTTAACTTTGTTTTTATTTTGTTTACCTTTTTTTAAAAAAGTTTTTTGTGATGATGCTGAATAATCCAGCTTAATTGAGGTTATGTAACATAACTTACATTATTTATACTTCTTCTTCTGCTTTAAATTAATACACACTAAATTGACCATATGCAAGGAATGCGGTCGATGTTGCCAATGGTAAAAAAATAAAATTCCCCATTGGGAACATTCAATTATATTACGTTTGCTACACTGAAATTTTGAATTTCCCGCACAAACTGACATACATTCTAGTAGTTCCCAGAGATAAAGAAGGTAGTTCCAATGTTGTATAATAAATTAAGGTGCGAATTTCAAATGTGGGAATAATTATTATTTATTATTATAAAAAAAAAAGACGGAAATTAATTTAGTTTGTGCGGGAAATTCAAATTTTCAATGTAGCCAACTTAATATAATTGAATGTTTCCAATAGGGAATTTTATTTTTTTACCATTGGCAACATCGACCGCATTCCTTGCATATGGTCAATTCTTATTCAAAGTTTCTTGGCCTTGTATCATGGCCTTAACGAAAATCAGCGGTTAAACAAGGAAAGTTTCCAAGGAATATGTTTCCGGTAGCTTAAAAGAAACTTTCAAAATGAAAATAAATTCCCAATTGGAAACTTTCCAAAACGGAAAGTTTCCTTAAAATGGAAACTTTCCGATTCCCATCTCTAATTAATTAATTAAATTAATTTTTACATGAATTACAAAATTCCAAAGTTAAAAGATCAAATTGTAAAACTATATAAATTTTTAAGGCATGATTGTAAGAAAACGGTTCATCTGAAGGGAAATTCCAATCAAACCTTTTTTATAGAGCATTCAATTTTCTTCAAAAAATATTCTTAAGTCAAATTTGTTAAACTCAATGGTTTGGGAGTTCTGAGACAAAAACTTGCTCAGGAAAAAAAATCTAAAATTGCGATGATAGACCTCTTAATATTAATATTATTGACTCAAACTTTCACCATAATTTTTTTTGTCACCCCAAACAATATTTTCGATATACTTTGCAAAAAAAAATAGTCGATTTTTTTGGCCCAGTCTAATATATATATATATATATATATATATATATATATATATATATATCTAATATATGTGGGTCAGAATTTCTCAAACGGGCCACCTGAATTTGGTCAAAATTAGTTTTTGATTGTAGATACATTTTTTCGATAGTATTTTACATCACTAACACAAATCCTAAAGGATTTTGTAAAAAAAAAATTTTCAATTGACATATTCATGATATTAAAAGTAAAAGTTTTTAGTAATTAAAAAATAAAAAAAAATCATTATGGCTAAACTAATTATCTGATTCCAACGATTTAACTAGCGTTGGAATCTTGTTTTGACATAGATTCTTTGTTATTTTTTTCAATTGTACAATTTTCATTTAGGTCGATTTTTTTTGTTTTTTTTATAACAAATTCGAAAATAATTGGCTTCTGCGCCAGCTATCGACTCGAAAAAAAAAAACACATATACTCCAATCATTTTTCGAAATTATGCTGTTGAGAAAAAAAATGGCCCGCAGGTTCCAGACCACCGTAAGACGTCGCGTCACAAGCGCGTACAGCGTACACGGTTCGGAGCGTGAGCTGACACCGCGCGCGGCCACAAAAGGACGAATAACTTTTTGTCAACCTGCGGGCCATTTTTTTTCTCAGCAGCATAATTTCGAGAAATGATTGGAGTATATGTGTTTTTTTTCTCGAGTCGATAGCTGGCGCAGAAGGCAATTATTTCCGAATTTGGT